AAGCCACTTGAGTGAGGTTGTACCCCACCCACTTGACTCCACCCTTCCATCCCATACAATGTGTGTCAGTCGTTAGCCAGAGGGGCCTGTGAGGCCTACACAGCTCACCTCTGAGTATGATCATCCTCCTGTAGGGCTCACATGGGAACCTGAGTCCTTACAAAGCCAGCCTAGACTTGCAGATTTGAGTGTGCCCACTTACCCTGGGGATGATTGCAACTCCCAGGCGTCAACACCGCATACTACATCTGTCCAAGTCAATATTGGGGGTGGGCATGCCTGAGCACACCCAATCTGTGTTGTACCGAGGTGAGAATACCCAATTCACACACCATGGTATAGCTATGCCCAGTGCATTACAGCATCATAGCGTCCCCGTGTCAGATTACACCGTGTCTCAATACACCGGCCTGCCATTTTGGAAGGGAGGGGAAGAGGATAGTACATGTATAGCCAAACATGTATTGGCCTGCACAACTGGGACACTATGCTTAGTCAGTTGACATTAACTACTCAAGTTTTCCCTGGTGTGCCTGATGTACACACTCATGCTATACCTCGGTTATGCTATGGGGCTGAGGACAGAGATGCTGGCCTTTATGCGCTCGACAGGCATCCCCGGACAATACAGAAAGCTGTGGAGCGAATGCAATATTACCAGCACTCCTGGATACACAGGCCTGAACCGAAGAGGGAGCTGATCCCAGTTGAAGACACACAACAGGACGACCCAGGTATGGGAAATGTCGCTGCTAGGGGGCTTGAAGCCCTCTAGATCCAGCTGGAGAAGATCGAGGTGATTAGGCAGAGGGAAGCTGCCCCCTTCAGAAACATCAGAAGAATGGTAACCCGCCACGCAGAGGGACGGAGCGAGACCGGAAGCCTGCTGTATGTTTCAAGTGTGGAGAGGTCGGGCACTTCCATAGAGATCGTCCCACCCATGCTACACGGAAGACAGTCGCTACTGATGGACTGGGGACAGGGCCAAGCTGAAAGGATCCACTGGAGAGATGTTGCCTAGGTTGGATTCCAGGGGGCTGGGGATCAGTGTTTCTCGCTCCTGTATGCGGCGCAGGCTGAAGATTCATTTTGAGACACCGCCAACACCAGAGCTATTCTCACCTGAGGTGGAAGAGGTATCCTCGGAAGAGGAAGTGGGGAAGCTTGTGGCTTCCAACTCCACTTCAGGGCCATTTGGACCAGCCCGGAATAGAACTAAGAAATCCCAGGGTTCAGGGAGGACCAACCCTTGTGGTTTTGATCTGATTTTAACAGTGAGAGAAGGGAAAGAGCACTCTATACCCACTGGGCAGTTACGCCAATCTAAGGGCTTTACTGTTATAGCCTGTGCTTGCAAGAAATAGGGGTTACAGCAGTGGTGGATACTGGGCCGAGGTCAGCATGTTGTCGTCCAGGGTGTATGACCAGCTGTATTTGACCATGAGACAGGACGGAGAAAACACCGAGTTGGAGGTATTTATAGTGGGGCCTGTCACTCTATATATTGGCCAGCAGGAGTATGAGATAGAACTACATGTTGTCCCATTGCAGGACTCGATGTTGCTGGGCATGGAATTTCTACGTGCCCGGAAAGCCCAGCTGAACCTGGAAGATGGAACCTGGGGGGGGGGGCATTAAGATAAAATTCAGGGGGGGGGGGCTGCTGAGATTCCAGAGGAGAGAGTGGCCTTCGCAGGAGGCAAAGCACTGGTCAAGACAGATTTACATAAATCTGTGCCTCGCTTGGTGAGGAAAATTGGTAGTGTGGCATCTTTGGCCCATCCCGGAAGAAGATTGTGTATGTCAGTCCCGGGAGTAGAGATTATTGAGGAGTCCCTCCTGGATTTTGTTATTGAGGATATCGGTGTTGCACCTCTATCCCCCAAGACCAATCCAACCTCCTGTGCATGAGGCGGCCTATGGTCAAATTTCTGGGGAATCACCAAGTTGTGTGGACCAAGACCCGCCCGGAAGGTAGATTTAGACAAGGTCAGGCCCGGGAGTAGAAGTGGGGATAGCCCCATATGATTTTGGCAGTTCCTGGTCATCTGTCAGTTCAACGCCAGAGTCCATGTCATTTATACACATCAGGGCGGAGGCGTGGGCGACGCCGCAGGGCAAGCTTGTCCTTCAGAGCCTGATGGTGTGACTGGTGTTACAGTTTCTTAGTAGTGAGTGGGCCTGCCTACCTTGAATACAGAATACAGGTGGCTAAATCATCGTATTGACTGGGAAAAAAAACAGCAATAATTGTTTTATTATATGATTCAGTGATAAAGTGATACAAACTCATTAAGCGTTCATCATCTTGTTTACATTGAAGTACTAGCCAAATACAATGAGAGAAGCAGACTGAAATAAACATTACGAGTCGTATCAATTTGGAATTTCATAAATCAACTTTTGGTTGCTATAAAAAAGAAATCATGTCAGGCTCTATTATAGGATGGATTTTGAAAGGGGACATTATCAGGGAAAACTGACAGCTGAAAAAAAGTCTTTGATTAGCCCCCACGAAAAGAGAATTCCCTTAACTCAAATTTTGTTTTGGAGTTGGGATTAGGTTAGGGGTTAGGGTGAGTTAACCATGCATCGGACACATACCTTGCTTCGGACAACTTGAAGCAATAAACTTTCATTGAACCTGAGTCTCCCCGTGTTTTTACTTGTTTCTGTCTTAAAGGTGAAGATTTAAACTTTTTAATGATGCCGATTTTTATTTTCGTGATAAAAATACCACAGGAATGGCCTTGAAATTACGTCATATTTTGCATCATCAAAGGGGAGTAACCAGAAATTTACGATTTTGCAATTTTTAGAGTTGTCGTTCTTTTAAATAGACGTCAACGGAACGGGTCGGACCTAGGTAAAATTTATCAATAATTGATAATTTTTCAGAAATTTTCAAAAATTTTACTTCAATGTTTGTATAATATTTGTTAGAGTTGTTTTTAACAAATATGTTTATTTCACCGTACATCGGACACAAATTAACCATGCATCGGACACTTTCCGATGCATGGGTGATCAATTCCATTTTCATATAAAAACCCAAATGACAGCTATTTTTTACGGAAATAGAAAATAAAAACTTTAAATTTTAAGTGAAAATACAAGATATCGATATATGACGACTAGAAGTGGACTCTATTTATTTCTTTAAACTCGATGATGATAACCCGGGAGACAAAGGCGCGAGTTGCCATATTACTTGCATTGTAAAGCCTTTCTAAGGCGATGTGATGCACCTAAAATCTCTTCACATTTGTGGATCAAGATAGTCAATCAAATTTAATTAGAAGTTTAATTTTTTAATAAAAGAGTTTCGATATCACTAATTTTAAAGCACCGAGATCAAGGTATGATATTTTTCTGGTTTAAATACCGTATGTCCTATGCATGGTGAATATTGTCCGATCCATGGTGAATTCTGACTTATTTCGAAAAAATCGGGTTTTAATGATATTTTCTCTATAAATAGCACACGATTGTGTCAAAAATTTATATTTTAACCACATACTACATGTTAAGTTCCATTTTGATAATATTCGGTTGGTAGCGACATCGCTAGAACTTGTTGAAGTGCGAGGGTGCCCGATGCATGGTGAATTCACCCTAGTGGGGGACCAGACTTTCAATGAATTTTTTAGTCTAAATTAAAAGTAAAACAAAATTAATCAAAATTGAAAAAGTGTTTGGGAAGGGGGGGGGTCCCTTGCAACCCCCCTCAAGTATATATTCCCTAATTTTATGTTCACTAAGTGGAAGTTGGTAGCAAGTGAAATAGCTATACAAATTTGGAATTTCCCGATCTATTTTTAGAACCAATGTAGAGAAAATAAATCCTTATATTCACCTGGAAGGTCACGTGCAGGTGAATATAACGTAGTACTCTTCCTACATTCTTGGATTCCAGCCAATCAGAGAGATAGGAATTATTCAATCATATAATAAAGTCAAATATTACAGTCATTGCAGAATAACCAACTTTACCTAAAGTGAAAATGAACTCATGAGATCAATTATGCGAAATATTTTATTTGTTAAATATTGTTAAATAAATTCATACATCCACATTATAAACGGCATTGAACAAACAGTACTAAATATATACAGACTGTCACTCTCACACACATATACACACTATTCTCTTGGCAAAATCACATAAACATATGTTTAAGTAAACAAATTATGAAACAGTTTAATGGAGAGGATAATTTCTACATTATTGTATCAGAATTTTAGAAATTTTCTAGTAAGGTAGGGTAGTGGGGTGTTTTTTCTTTTTAATTTCATGTTCTTTATAGTATTGTACGGAACAAAAATTACTGTACCTTCAGAACTCATTTTCCACTGTATGATGAAAATATGGGGAGTGGGGATTCACCCCTTGAACTTCCACAATTTGAAATTTTCATGTACATGTTGTGTAACTTTTGTTAAAAATAAAATGTTTAAAGTCAATATTTCTCTAAATGTATAAATTTCAAGTGTTTCGAACAATATTTTATACTGAGCAATTTACGAAGTACAACTACAGTGTCTTAAGTCTCGTCTGTAAACATTTGTTTTCATTGCTTCAAACAAGATGTTTTTTAAAATGATGTTAAAAATCTAAATTGTTATAAAAGTTTGCAATAAAAATCCATTAACAAGGAATGTACCTCTGACACAAACTGAATTTAAAGAAATATTTTGAAAAACGGTAAAATTTACAAAAATATAAGCTTTGCATGACACAGACAATTTTTTTCAATTCTTGATAGCATTAGGTTTAAGAAAAATGCAGGTTTCAGAATCTAAAAAATCCTACTTTTATGGGGGAAAATCAGGAATTTTTGTTTGTTCTATTACGAAAATCTACCACTGGGAATTTGGTAAATCTTCAAAAAAGTATACAAAAAATCAGTAAATTTTGTTTGTTCTAATACGAAAATCTACCATTGGGAATTTGGTAAATCTTCAAAAAAGTATACAAAAAATCAGTAAATTTTGTTTGTTCTAATACGAAAATCTACCACTGGGAATTTGGTAAATCTTCAAAAAAGTATACAAAAAGTCTAGTAATGTTGACATGGATGATAACAACGATACGTAAATGCGACCTTTATTTTTTCCCGGCATATGTATTTTTGCAGTACAATGCGTTTGTCAAAACTACGTTATTTTTCATAAATTTTTATTTTTAGCTCACCTGAGCCGAAGGCTCAAATGAGCTTTTCTGATCAAAGAGTGTCCGGCGTCCGTCTGTCGTCTGTAAACTTTTCACATTTTTGACTTCTTCTCAAGAACCACTGGGCCAATTTCAACCAAACTTGCCACAAAGTATCCTTGGGTGAAGGGAATTTAAGTTTCTTCACAGGAAGTACCACGCCCTCTTTCAAGGGGAGATAACTAAGAATTCATGAAAATTTGGTGGCATCTTTTAAAAATCTTCTTCTCAAGAACCACTGGGCAAGAGAATATACTCTAGATTCAACTTTGTTAATATCATAACCCCCGGGGCTAGGGCGGGGCTCCAAGGGGGTCGAAGTTTTACATAGGAATATATAAGATACGTCTTTTAAAATCTTCTCGACAATAGGAAAGCCATGATTAGTCATATTATAGTAGAAGTATCCTCAGGTAGTGTTGATTCAAATTTAGGGTGGGTAGGGTGGGACCACAATGAGCAATCAGAGTTTTACATAGGAATACATAGGAAAAAAATCTTTGAAATTCTTCCGTTTTGAGAACAGCAAACCCATGATTAGTAATATTGATATAGAAGCATCCTAAGGTAGTTTAAATTTAAGTTTACCCCCTTAAAACTTTTCAATACTGAACCGATTTCTGCTTCTTCCTAGCCCGTGTGCTCAGGTGAGCGATGTGGCCCATGGGCCTCTTGTTAGCTTTATAATATAATTATCTTAAAAAAAATATGTGCTTTTGGCTCATTATATAGCTTCAATTTTTAAAGGTTTCACCCTTAACACTAAAGCAAAAATGGAGAGGGGACCTTATTATTTACAATATCGTTTCCTTCATTTACTTTTCACCGAACTTCGTTTATAACTTTTGGAGATGCTGAAAACTGACAGAGGTAGACCCTGTCATCCACATTTCTAATGAACAAGCACGATTTTTCGAGTATACAAGATTCTATGGAGGGAAGTAGCAATATATACTTTACTAGGCACGAGTAAAAAATCATTTGATTGACATTTTGTATGAAATCTTGATTACAAAATCAGATCAATAGAGAGGCTAGTCAATTTGGATTTTTCATTGTTGGGCTATAAGTTAAACAGACCAAAAATAAGCATTATCAGAATAACTGATAATACGTGACGGAAATGAGAGTCACTTCCGGATGTGCATTGATTTTCATCGATCATAGCAAATACCCTTGCTGGTCCACCACTTCCATCTGATAATTTTACAACAGCAACAAAAATAGTACTCCCACTTTCCGGTATCCTGTCTAAGAAACCAACATTCTCTACTCCAATAATGTTATTTTTACCAAGTACTACGTGAGTCGGAAAAGTTTTTGATTGTCCGTAATCGGTAGAGGGTGTGTCCACACCAATAACGTGTACTTTTCTATTTTTAGTTAGCCAAGTTACAGCATCCACATGCCAACCGGGGAAGTGAAAAGTGTTAGGATCATTAGGAGTCGTCGTGCTGAAGACTGCGTTCTTATCCGGATATTTGTCACTCCAGCCCGAGTTCATCAGGACAACCGCTCCGTCTGGGATCTGTCCATGGGAGTTTTCCCAGTCCATGATATCCTGGACGGTGACTTGATAGTCGTAGTTTGCGGACACCTTTGCTTTAACATTGATGATAACTCCTTTCCCAACCAACTTTTCCATTGGAATTTGCTGGGTTCGCCATCCTCCCTGGTAAAAATGGGCGGGAGAATCAACGTGTGTTCCCCCGTGCTCAGCTGTGGCGAAGGAGTTGCTTTCGTACCTAATGCGAATAATTAAGCCATCTCATTACTGACAGGAATGTCAAATACAAATGTTTGATAAGGGCTCAGAGGAGAGAATAGATTGGAAAAAAAAAGGCCTTTCTCAGATAGTTTGTACATAATGTCAATTTAAACCCCTCACGATTTGGAAAATGATGATTTGCATGTAAATTGAAGAGATGTTTCTAAAATTGCATACATTTGTATTCTTATTCTTTGACATATACCATCTTATCAAATGTGAAATGCACATGTGATCTATGCAAATATTATGAGAAAGGTTGAACTTCAAACAAAAAAATTTAAAAACAATACCCAACCCCTGATCTTCAGTCTGGGATGGACAAAGTCTTTGCAGTCAAATTTCATAAAACAGACATTTTAAACTTTGATACTACTTTGGAAAAAAAAGTTATGCTTGTTAAAATTTCTTTGCAAATTGAGAAAATCGGTAAATACCAATATCCCCCATTTGTGCTGTTTCTGTATATGATAGTGAAGTTATATGAAGGATTCCCCGGCCAGTATATGGTGGCATGGTTCTGTTCGTGGGTCAGATCCACGATGCGCAAACTGGAACAGACAGTCAGGAAACACAAACTTGGGATCCAGGGAAACATCATCTTAATGAATTTGAAAAATAAACGAGAATAATTAATGACACACATTTAAATTGCATTCTTGTACAAAATCCTTGGAAACATAGATTCTTGAAATCCTAGGGGTTGCAACACTCGCCTGGGCCTTATTACTGTTCCTGACATGTACAATCTGAAATCTAACCCATACTTATATTGGTGACTGATAACCAACAGTACATGAAATCAACGTAGCAATAACGTGTAATAGCATAGTGTTTGAAAAGTCACACACGCAGACCCTCACTTACATATTAAGAGCCATTCTCTGTAATGACTTGATCTTTTATATAGGAGCCGTGGCACGCATAGTCTCAGAATTACTCCAAACTCTCTATGATAAAAGCCTTTGATACCGTAAACTCAAATCAGGCAAAAATTGGTTGTTACGTGTCATGGTTACCATAGCAACATGTCCTAAAGTTTGAAAAATGGCATTTTTCAACATGTTCAGAGTCCCACAGTTAACGTTTGCAGCAAAGCAAACAAATGACAATGACTGTTTCTGAAAGTTGAAGGCCTGGTGTCTTAAATGCATGATAAACATGTTTGGTAAATCAACTATAACATACGTTACTATGGAAACAAAGTATTCAAAAATAAATAATTTTGTTTATTTAATTCTATGAAGTCATACACTTAAGAATAAAAACAATTATAGGTTGAAATGCAAGCAAATAATAGACAAGAGATCCTTGTAACATATACCAAGGACAAAATATGATATTTCTTACAGGTTGACAATGGTTGCCATGGTTTTAATACCACGAAAGGATTTTAAATTTACTATCTTAGTGTTTTAATCTTATTCAATCTTTTTAAAAAGCACATTTCTATATAACTGATGATCAATTTTTAAAGGCGTTGGTGTGACCCTAATTTTCACATTTCAAAAAATTCAATTTCAATTCTTTAAATAGTGCGTTGCTATGGAAATAAGGCGAAAAAAAACATACATAAAAATCTGAAAAATACTCTGTTTCCTTGGATACGTACCCTTATATGTAGATTCCCAAAACTTTAATGATTGATATATGTGAACAACTAACCTGACTTTCAATTTTGACTACCACCCAATCTCTAACTGGATGCAAAAAGCTGGCACATAGGGTCTAGTATTGACATAAAATTAGCAAAATCGAACATTTTCTCTTCTTGGTAACCATAGCAACAGTGTTGTATTTTTCAACAAACTTTATCAATATATGATATTCAACTTGAGTTCTACCAGATAAGTACTATTCGCGGTGAGTCAGATAATATGTTTCTTAATTAAAAGGTTAGTAAATTCCTAAAGCAGCAAAAAAAAATATCAGTTTAAACAACTAGTACGTTGTTTCCATGGTTACACTGCAAAGTAACAATTAATCCCAATTTTTCTTATGTTTTCGGTGTTGCAAGGTCCTAAGGATGTATATGTGCCAGTCATGAATTTTATTGTTTTTCCTCAAGATAGTAGCATTAACCCAATCATAGCAACAGATTTTGCATTGTGACACTGTGTTACCATGGCAACCATGGAAGTTATTTTTAGAATGATATTGCCAATACCTAATTACATAATGTCAAATATTTTTCATTGTTTTTCTTAGATTGTTGGTTGAGTTTGATCATGTAACATCTATCATTTGTGAATATTGAGCGTTTTTCAGCATTTTTCAGCATCTAAAATGTATTTAAATGTACCCATGGTTACCACTTGCTTAGAGATAAATTCTAAATAGTTTCTTTATAGCATTAGTGGCAACAAGGTGTCATGTTTTTGGGAGAATGATTTGTTTGTTTTTCTTAGTCTTTATTAAGGCTTAATAAAGATTTAAAGTAGCTGAAAATCTCATTTTTTTTCGACTTTTCTGGCTGTTACCATGGCAACCAAGACACATAGCAACAAAATTTTATTTGATATGTGTTTCTGGTGTCAAGTTGTAATAATGGGCAAAGTTTCATCAAAATCGGTGACCATGCGTGCCAAAGAAGTTTAAGTGGTTACAGAGAATCGCTATTAAATTATCTAAACAGGCACAAACGTAAATTCCACTTTTATAGCGAAATTATGTTACAGTTGAAACGAAATCGCCCTCAATTTCATCCAAATAGCCTGTGCGAGACATACCTACAAACTATAAAGTTCCCTGAATTTTCCGATCAGCTGTGTGCAGTTAATTCTCGATATTAAACATTTGTTTTTGTAATTGACGTATGTTCAAACCATACACCCCGGATCCATAAAAAGTGATTTTGTACAAAATATTAACATTCACGTTTAACACACTGACGCATTATAATTTATCTGCTTCTATAGAAACATTACTTTGAAACCCTCATATTCTTGCAACGCAGTCATAATTTTATTTTCAGCACCAGAATCGACTCTTTTAAATGACCGGCCCTAATTAAAAATCGTGAGCTTTTGATTAGGCATTATGGTGCAGCTAAAACATCCTCATCGGGACATTCTAAGAAACATGCGCAGAACACCCCAGAATGAAAATTTTTCAAGTAATTTTACAATACATGCATTTTACAGACTCATTATCCCAAATTACAGTATTTATAGATTAAGCCGTTTTCGTCCATTTATTAAAAGGAAGCTTGGATCGAGGACTTAATGCATTTTCAATTGAAACACTGAAGCTGAACTTAAGCCTGTATACTGGAGCCTAAACTCAGATCGGAGTAATCAACCGGTGTTAGGAATTCACAATTTCGGTAGAATGATCATTGTTTATAATTATGACCAATCAAATACAATCATGCAGTGTGTTTGCTAAACTTCAGGGTTTTAAAAGATATTAAAGAGTACATTGTATTTTATAAACATGACCAAGATACTAGTATCCCATCCTTGAGTATGGCCAGGGGTCATACGTTTACAATTTTCCTAGATTCCTTACTAATCTTAATCGTATAAATAGCTTGTTTACCTGCTGACAGGAGTCTTCTGAATGACTCGTATCAAATATCGCCATCATGCTCTTATTTGTTTATTTTGGATGTTCCAAAAGTTTACCTTTAGGCCTTTTAGTTCAGTTTAAAATTTTAAAAAATGTCCAATTCTTATACACGAAATTCCTATATATTTTGATGAAAGTCAGAATTCTTGACAAAAGAGGAAGATCTCTCAGACACTGATTGATTCAATTACGCATCTGGTTATAGCTAAAGAATAGCCATTACATCTTTCGTGTGCGATTTCTGCCGAAAGCCCATATTCTTTTATCCAAGTAATCGTTTTGGTAGACATTTTGTTTTATCTTATCTTCAGATAACGCACGATTATGTAATGCTTTCTTTGCATTGTGTCTTTAAATTAATTCAACTGTTAAGTTCTAATAATACTAAAGATCTCTTAAATTCGGGCAAATTTTTGAATGCTGCCAAATTGTTTAAATAAAATAATATCGATGTATAAGACTATTTTCATGCATGTATTTTTTTTTACGTTCACTCTCTCTGTATGATTTTTTTTCTTAATAGCATGATTGTATAATTATTCTGATGAGCCAGTTGGCTTAAGGAAATAAAGAAACTTGAAACTTGGCTTTTAGTATACGACAGCAACGTTGCAGCTGCTGCAGAAAATACATAATTATATATATAGCCCGTGGGTTATGCATTTTTTCCTGCAATCTGCAACCGTCAATTCCCCTACTTACATCTTATTGTCGACATTTATGACTGTATAAATAAATATATATAAATCAGTTTAAGTACAACACTTACAAAAAGAATCGACAAAATTTTACAAACCTGATCGATGAATGCAAACAGATGTTCTTGTCTTAAATTGTTTACAAGTCGAGTGTAAACTTATGGAAGGGGCGTGACTCGTGCTATACATGAGTGATTGCTTGTTGAAGTTGATACATATAAAATTCGTACTGACCGTATCAAAGAAAATGATTTCGAAATGTTCCAAAAATTGTATTCTTTCCAATGTTTGTCCGTATTTATTATGTAAATACACGTATTACATATTTCCTTGGTCTTCTTCATCTTTCAGACTATTATATTGTTAAATATGTACATGCCTTATGAGGCCCTTGATTGGTACAGTATATAAACGTTTATAAATCTCGTTCTTGACATTCATAGTACCGGTAATCAAAAGACACTTTTCTGTGCTCTTTTCCGTAATAAGCATTTTAACACGTTATTACTTCTGCAGGTTTTTTTTTTTTGCTTGTTTGTTTGTGGAATGAATGAAAGTTTTAAATTGGTTTGTGGAATGAATGAATGTTTTAAATAAACTTTTTAACGGAACACACCGCACTAAACAGGTCAAGTTTATATTTGTTTGAATGTAGTGTGTTTGTTTAGTATAATTTGTTTAGGAATTAACGCGCAAGGTCCGATTATTAAGGCAAATACCGTGACTGTACATACAGTCTATAGGTACGTAATTCACTCGAGCATGTAATTGTTCTGACCGAGAAAATACATCATGATTTTAGACTGTGGCTAGTGTCCAATGGTTTGTTAGTGACCTACAACCTTACAGTCGTAAATCTTATTATGGGTACCTGATTACAAATAACCTCCTTAATAAAGATTACACATAACATTCAGTAGAGGAATAGAAGAGGTCATTTATTTAGTAAAATAAATGACAGGATAATCAAACAAGTCATGTATAAGACAACGCAAAACATACTAAACATAGTTCTCAAACAATTATGACAAAGCAAAACATACTAAACATAGTTCTCAAACAATTATGCAATATTTATCAAAAATGTGATGTATATAATTAATAAAGTATTTCTCTGAAGTAGGTTCAATATTCTTACATAATATACAGAATATTATTGAAAAGTTAGATGGGGCACATCCGCCATACTGGGTGGGTGTTGGTTACTTATTTTCTTGGGGGAATTTCTCTGTGAATTAATAAAAACGGCGACTGACGATAATTTTTTTTTTTTGGAAACTCCACATTTTTTTTTTCATCTCCTTCTTTAAGAGGATCAGCTGTTACGGACATA